GACCGGTCAAAGCGATCCATTTTGACGCCCCATTGGAGACCAGAGATGGAGAAGGTGGATGTGGACCCCACCACCTTGTTTCTGTTTATTTTGTCAATTTCTCCCACTTTCTATTTTATTTGTTTTTTCTTTTGTTGCCCACTGCTCACTTTTGATCCCTTTGTTCCATCTTCTCGTGCGTTTATCCCTCTCTTGGGCTGCGTTCTTGCACCACTGCTCAAAGTCTTTATAGTTTGTTTCAATTATAAACTCATGAATTTTAGTAAAAGTAAAATGAAATTCTTTTAAGTCCTTGGGTTATAACAAATCCCTATTTTTATTCTTTTTGGTGGAAGAATGATAATTTTCTATCTTATAGTGTAGTACAGTAGTATGATCACATGATTTTTAAAATGGAAAATTTTCAACTTAGTTCACCCGTATTATAACACTTATATGAGCTATATTACGTGCAAGAGTGGAGCTAAAAAATTTCAAAAGGATGGGCTAATATTTTGTTAAACAATAAAACAAAATTAAGTCAAATCAAGAACAACTAAATTTTAATTTTTTTGAACTTGAACGATGCAATTAACATGATATAAAACTTAAAAACTACGACTTTTCTTAACTAGCCAGCCATAAAAGTGAAGAATTTGCCCATATGGGAGCTGGCTGGGGTGGGCTAAATGTCAAAATCTTGAAATTACCTGCAATAAAAAGTATTTTTGACCAAGGTTCCACTGGTCTATAGTCAAGGTTCCACCATTATTACGTGACCATTGCAGTATTATTATATAATTTCTCTTAAATTACAGAAAAGGTGCATAATTTAAAGCACAAACTTTCATAGTTGCATAGGAAATGCTTGAAGCATTTGTTTACGTTATCAAATTGTCATCTCTAGGGAACAAAGGGACTTTAGTTCTTGAATTACCAAAATTGTAACTTAAGGGACCATAATTAATTAAACGTAGAGCTGTTGGATTTGTTTAATTGATGAGAGTTCACCTAAGGAATTTCATAATGTTTCTCGAAATATGATGAGGGGGAAGGGGGGGGAAGTGGAATTACTTTTCCCTCATTGAAGGACATTCCCAAAAGTTTAATATTCTTTTGCTCTTATGTTTTATGTCACTGATGATATCAAAATACAATTAATATAAATGAGGCAATTTGTAGAGGACAAGCATAAATCTTTTTCATGTACAAATCCCATCCTAGGATTCTGATGTGATTACTTTTTTTTAAGCCTAAAGGCAGAAAATTCCATGATCCGTAGTGACCGTATGGTATACATAAGATGTTTTCTGCCTGTCTTCTTGTACTATCCAATCTGCCAAAAACCTGTTTTAATTATATTGGAACTTTGAGAAGATTTTGGCCCCAAGTTTTTTTGTAAGTTTGTAACACTTTCTTTTGTTTTATAGGGTTTGCGAGCTGAATGATAATTGTATCTTTCTTTTTATTTTTTATTTTTTTATTTTATATATACAAGCGTTATTGGGGAAGGGGTTTTTTTTTTCATAAACAATTTTCTCCATCTTCCCTCACCACGTGGTCAATCCCGGACATTAAGAAGGCAGTAGTATTTGGTTATCAAACACAAACATGATTAGGAACATCAATATATACTTTGCTACCTCCATGATTAGTAACAAACTAATATTTTTGTTTCGAAACTCGTTAATTACAAATATTTTTTGAATACAATATCCATCGAAAGTAAGTAATCAGTACAATCGATGGCCTTGTTGGAAATGTTCTGTTGGATAAGATAAATACATTTTTATTTTTATTTTTTGGTTCTCAATCAATTGATCACATATGACCAATCACTTTCAATTGAATTATTTTTCAGAAATGATTATCTAAGATGACCTAACAATTATATGAAACCACGTTAAAGTAAGTAATCAGTACAATCGATCGCCTTGTTGGAAATGTTCTGTTGGATAAGATAAATACATTTTTATTTTTATTTTTTGGTTCTCAATCAATTGATTACATATGACCAATCACTTTCAATTGAATTATTTTTCAGAAATGATTATCTAAGATGACCTAACAATTATATGAAACCACGTTAATATTACGTAAAAACTTGGGGTTTTTCTTTGTTAATTAATTTCAACCTACCTGCTCATTTATTTGTTGTAAAAGTTGCCTCCTCACTGTGGAGAAAGGACTTGATGATGAGTTTGAATTAGGTTAAACCAGAGTTTTGATTGGATATCCAAAGGACTGGCGTGCGTGTACTCCATGACAGGATCATCAAGCCAACAAGTGTTTCGATTTCTCCTCTTGTGTGATGTCTAGTTGCAGCACCACCATCCAATAATTTAAGCTTAATTAATTTATAATTTCACTGACTTTAATATAAAAAAGGATTAATTAATGGGTGGTTTACAATTCATTAATCTAAGCTTAGTGGATTCCCCCCTTTTTTTTTTGTGGCTTTTCACAGCCTCAGAGATATAAACAGTTGCAAGTGGTCATGTGCTTACACTGAGGAAAGGCAATTGGAAGAAGAAAAGGAGGGAGAAAATATGTTTTGTTTTATCAATGTGTGTGTTGATGAGGATTATTAAATTAACAGAGCTAGTAATTATTGAAGCAAAGGGGTCCCATGGATGGACATTGCGACTTTAATTAGCATTTTGAATGTTGATCATAATTTTATATTGTGGTTTTTAAAACTAGGGCACGTGAATCCATGTGAAGGGGGTCCTCCATGTTGTTAATTACTCTAGGATCCTTTGAGTGTTGGGTAGAAAATCCACTAAAGAGGTTGATTAATTAACTGTAAACACGTTTAAAGTTTTGATTAACTTTTTACAACTACTTGCTGGCACTTGGAAAAATTGACTGATGATATAGATTGCTATTTCAATTCCATGGAAGCTAGAGACTGATCAATGCATTAATAATTGATCTCCAGAACCATGTTTTTTTGTTTTCCCATTTTTATTTACCGCCATCCATAAGGGAAATGATTATTTTTCTATTCTAAATGAACTCGTTCAAACAAAAAAGTGCAGTATGATTTCTTCTACAAATATCTAAAACAATCTAGAGATAATTTCAAAAGTAATCCACATAAATATTGTATTTTGTATGGATTTAAAACTGTATGTTATTAAATAAGGTGAGGATTTTTCCAATCAAATCGGAAACTCATAGGTCTCGTTCCTAATAAGGAGAAGGGAATTTGTCACATAACTAGCTAGTTGTAAATAATGTAGGAATTAGGGAGTTAACAAACTAGGTGTATTCCGTTGAGAGAGTATCGGAGATGGAGGTCTAGCACAAAGAGCTTAAAGATCTTCAGCCTCTCCAATTGGTTTTGGGTTGTATGCTTGACATTCTTATATGATATCAGACTATCCATGTGGTAGGCTCAACGAATTCACATGCTGCCAAATCACCTAATAAAAATTGTCCACATATAAGGCACAAAATTAAGATATTAAAATTAAGATGTTGAGAGTATCCCACCTCGAAAGATGAAAGTGTAGCTTAAGAGCTTAAATCTCCCGCCTAACGTCATTCACACCGAACACGTGAGGGCATGTTGAGAGTGTGAATGCCACCTCTAAAATTAAAGTCTTGTCTAATAGTTCAACACTGTGATCCCTCTCCACCCAATGCTAATTGATTTTGGATTGAAGACTCACATTCTAATAAGTTAGCGTCTAAAAAGTTAGATAAAGAAGTTAACCGATTGCATGGATTTAATGATATTTCTGGATTGTGGATCTAACAAGTTCATCGTCTTCAAGAAATTGATATTTTTATATAAAAGTCATTAAGCCTATTAGAGTAATTTTACAAGGAATAATTGTCATTGCATTTGAACAAAAAATTATTCTAACAAAGTAATAGTATATATATATTAAATAAAAAAGAATAATTTCCCTTTTTTATGTTTTAAGTCAGTTCATTTCAATATGTATTTATTGTTCATCCCTACAAGAGCATACAAAAACTTATGCAGAGTCTGGTATCTGATTTGAACATTCATCTCCTTTTGGACTGAAAGATAGTATGAATCATGATTCAACTCAAACGTTGTCTTACTTGAAAAAAAACAAACTTTGCACACATTTTGATTTCCTAGGCTGCTCATTTCATTCATCTTTTTTAGAAAAGATGGTATTTTATTAAACCCTTAAGAACATTACATGGTAAAAATTAGAATGTTAATAATGGCCTCGTTAAAACCTTCCCGTAGAAACCACATGGAGCTAAACCCCAGAATAGAAAAGAGATGCATATTCAATTGAACAGATTTTTTAAATCAGAGAAAACCCTGCCCACACGTTACATTAAATTGGGGGAAAAAAAAGTGTAGAATAAAATAAAAAATACCTATAAAAAACCCCTGATGATAAAGTCAAAAATAGACCTAGATGATCATTGAATTCTTCTTGGCGAAACAGAGAAATTACTTGATTGTTATTTTATTTCAAATCGGATGGAGAAGGTAAAATCTTTTTCTATTTTTTTAGCCGCCACAGAAACCCCTCTTTTTTCACAATTTATCTGCAGAACTAATTGGAAAGCTGGTATGTATACAAGTTCAGTTCGTTGGACTAACCCTAGTTGTCATTCATTTGACATAAATCCTATTTAAAAAAAGGAGCATTAAAAAAACAGAATCAAAAGTTAGGTCACATGTTTTTCTGGTAAGCTTTCCTGAATGTTGGGTGCAGATTTGAAGAGAAACTTGAGGTGTAGAATTGAAGACAGAAAAGATGTTGATTAAATATTAGCTGCAGAAACCGAAATTAAAGCTTGTCAAAAGCCCTCCAATTATTCTGACCACAAAAAAAACACAGTTCTATAATTATTTACTATATCTTCCAAGTCCAATCCATCATATCAGGTAATAAACTATAAATCATTGACAGATATAATATAAAACTAGATTGAAACCAAAATTCCCCACCAAGAAAATTACACAAGAAATAACTAGAAGGGGAAATACACCAGATCATGAACAATTAGTAGCACAGAACTAAATTAAAAGGTCAGAACCCCAATTGAAAATTAGAGTTGCATCAATTATTATCTTTTTCATTGCAAACTGATCATCAAAAGGCAGTAAATTAACTCAAAAGAAGAAGTTGAGCTAGCTAGCTTTTATACTATAACATCCAGAAGACACCCAAAGTTTTCTCTCTTCTAGTGTTCTTAATTCACATCTCTCCCTCTCTTGCTCTCTCTCTCTCTCTATAACTCCTTTCTAAGATTTATATATTTCAATACAACAAAATGGAAGCACAGGCTTCAATTTTGATCTTGTCCTCCAAGTTTCAGTAAGGTGGTCTTGCCCAAGCATAGGCTTCATGGCCAAGCTGTCCATGGCCACCATTTGGGATCAGATTTGGAGGCAGATGATGACTGTAAATATTAGGCAGCCCTCCAGATGAAGGGTCAGGCAGCTGCTGCTGATGCTGATGCCCTCCACTCCCCAACTGGGCCCCACTGCTCCCTCCCCCAGTTGGAGAATTCCCTGAACCCCCATTGTTATGCCCTCCTCCTCCACTTCCTCCTCCTTCTTCATCTTCCTCAAGAGGCAGCCTCTCATATGTAGCATTTGCAAATGTTGCTGCCACCACCATCACTGGCCCTGCTGCCACAAGTGACCCCACCACACTGCCCCCAACCACCTGCCCGTTCCCGGCCGCCAAGTACACCGTCAGCCCTGTCGATCCGGGAGGGGCGGGCCCGGGCAGGAAGGCACCACTCAGAGACAAAATCTCAAACCTTCCTTGTAGTGCCACAACAGCTCCAGGCGCCGCAGGTTGTCTGAGCGTTACATTCGCCACTGAGCCACTCCCGCTGAGGACACACACCCCTCTCTGCCGCCGCCTCGCAAACTGGGCCACGCTCTCCGCCACGTCAGCGCCTCCGGCCACCTCCATGACGTGGCTGCGGAGGGAGTTGGGGCTGTCCCGGGTGACGAAGATGGGGGGTTTGGGCTTGTTTTTGGATCCCGGAGGGCGGCCTCTTGGCCTGCGGGATCCAATCTCGACTGCTCCTTCTTTGGGCTCATCTTGGTCTCTGTCTTCATCTCCGCCGCTGCTTCTGCCGCTGTTGTTTTCGTTGATGGATATTTCGAGCTCGCGCTGCTTGTTGAGTGCGGCCGAATTGGTGGCTGCCGAGTCCATGCCCGGCAGCCCCAAGTTACCACTCCACCAGGGGTTAGCCAGAGTGGCAATTGTCGATCAAATTTAAGGAATTGTAACAAGGAAGAGAGAAATTAACAAGAAGAGTATGTAAAGACAAGCTACTTATTTTTTTTCTTTCCTTGTTCTCTTTGGTTTGAGAATTTGAGATCAAGAAGTCAAAGGCATATGTATATGCATACAGCTCATAATATACTCGCACAACACATCAAGGGGTAGAAGAAGATGAAAAAGAAAAGAAGCAAAGCAAGCTTCTATAACCTAATAATACTCATATACTCACACAACACAGGAAAAAAGAGAGAGCGGCCGGAAGTTGATGAGAGAAGTTTGGGGGAGAGAGAGAGAGAGAGCAGTAGCTAGGAGTTACAGAGGTGATGAAGATGTAGCCCAAAGATGATCATCGTCAGGCGATGGGGGAAGTGTGATGAGGTTAGTGGAGAGAATATGGAACAGATGCAAAAACCCTTAAGCTTGATTGATAGAATCAATTAAGCACAAACAAGAAAGAGAGAATATTAATTAAAATTAAGCAAGGCAGTACAAGTACAGAAAGAAAAAGACTGAAACGAAACTTAAAGACAGTATATTTATATAAAATACAATAATTAAAAATAAAAAAAAGAAGAAGGGAAAGACACAATTAAGTGTTTGTGTGGCTGGGGTTTGGTGTTTAATAAGCTAATAAGCTGCTAAGCTCTGTTGTGATTTGGGGAGCTGGGGATTTAACCCTTTTTTTTCCTTTGTCTCGATCTCTCTCTTGATTTCTCTTGGATATCTCTTCTCTGTCTATCTGTCTGTCTAAAATAGTAAGCAGAAAAAGATTAGTGATGTCTGCTTTTTTGTAAGGGAGGGAGAGAGGCTCTTGGGAAGGTTAGGGTTTCGTGGGGTCGCGTGCGCGTGGGAGGTGGGGATCACGTCGTTGTCTCGGGCACAACATATATACATATATGTATATATGAGCCTATAGATACACAAAGTGTGTGTGTTTTGTCTGTGAGTGTGTGTCCGTGTGCGTCACAGTAGTGTGTAATAAACAGAGCTAATTCAGCAAAAGCTGGAGAGGACTGAGAGTGAGAGGACCTTGTGTGGATGGTGTTTGCTCTATCTACTAATACTTACTATTGCCACCTGCCTCGGTCCCTTTTCTGGTTTTGCAGTTTTTTCTTATTTTGGGTCTTAACCTACATTCTGTTTTTGCCTAAAATGGAAATCTACCCGTGATTTCTTTTCTAAAAGACAGGGAAATGTAAAATAATAAGGGCACTGTTTTGTTTTTGGAAAAAATAAAATGAAATTCTATAAGGGTTCTATTAAAAACTCATCCGTACAGTTGGTTCAATTATGACGAAATAAAGCAAGTGGGTAAACTCTAACGTACTAATTAGTTTAAACCTTTATGAACACAAAATTACCTGATGAACGTTTGGCAAGGATCCAATCCTAGAGACTTGCAAGTTGCTATGTTTTCTCATATCATATCAATCCCTCAGAAAACGAATATGATAATATTATGTGTTTTTTAAGAGAAATGTGATAGATTGCATTCATAATTCAAGCATACAAGCCGTCTGTCACAAATACCAATATAAATACATATAACCACATAAGGTTAATACAAATATGGAAGCACGGTAATCACATGGGGTTAATCCAAATACGAAGGAGTCCACCAGCAACATCAAATGCACAAGGTGTAGACTCATAGCCACACAAGGCCTAAGAAATTTTGACAAAAGAGTCGCTGGAAAAACCAAACATATACCTCAGTACCAAACTACAACTCCAACCTTTTTAACTCTAACAAGTAGAAAATACAAGTACAAACACACATATAACTCAAAAAGAGCTGATGCACTTATTACAACTAATTGCACACAAAATGAGTAAATAAAAGCCAATTTGTCACCATATGTCGTCACCAATATAGCCAAGCAGCCACCAAAATGATCAGTCAAGAGGAAGGGGTTGTAGGGGATGGGTGAGAGCAGAGGTGGAGAAGGGAGGGGAAGGTTTGGGAGGGTAAGGAAGGAGGGAAGGAGGGATGGAGGCCACGGAACCCGAAAGGGGGTTATGGCTGAAACTTTTATCTCTTTAGCGTTTTCTCTCTCTAGAGAGAGTTTTTCAATAATTGCTTGGAGTCGATAACATTATATGTTTTAGTAAAATGCATTTTTAATTTTTAACTATAATAAGTAGATAAATCATTGTCATAATCACAATTAAGATTAGATTTCTCCTCAGTAACATTGAGTGGTGTTTGCTCTGGCTACTACCACTCACTACTGCCACCTGCCTTGGCCCCCCTTTTAATAGGTTTTGCAGTTTCTCATTTTGGGTTTTAACCTACAGTCTTTTGTTGCCTAAAATGGAATCTTCCCATGATTTCTTTTCTTAAAGAGAGGGAAATGTAAAATAATAAGGACACTGTTTTCTTTTTTGAAAAATAAAATGGAATTCTATAAGGTTCTATTGAAAACTCATCCGTACAGTTGGGTCAATTGTGACGACGTAAAGCAAGTAGGTAAACTCAAACGTACTACGTTCAAACCTTTATATCAATGCAAAATTGCCCAATAAAGGATTGACAAGGATCAAATCCAAGAGATTTGCAGGTACTTATTATGTTTTCTCATCTCATATCAATGAGATGAGAAAACGAATTTGATAATATCATATGGTATAGTACAATGCATTTCTAACTATAATAAGTAGATAAATCATTGTTATTGTCACAATTAAGATAAGATTGCTACTCACTAGAATGGTAAAATTTTCATGTTTGATTAGAAAAACATGATTGACGGAGTACGCAATCACACATTTGAAGAGATCACAATGGTCTTCCATAGTTGTATTTCTTTACTTTTTCAAGGAGATGCAATGTCTGAGGATTTTTGCCCTATCAACAAATAACCTATTAGCTTTTGCCATATATTATCTCCTCGGATGCCGATTTAGGACCATCAAAATAAATACTAGTGATGCACTTTCTAATTATGGTGGCAGAAATAGTTGCGGTGATGGTCATGTTCTAGAAGTAAGTGCGAACAGGTTGGAAGCAGTGAGGTTCAATTAAATAAACAAGTAATTAATTAATGAGTTGATGGTAATTTAGAATCATAGATTTGACATAATAACAAAATTTAAAAATGAATCATAAGACCGACCAATGATTACAGCATTATTGGCTGAAATTTTGGAAAGATTAGATGTAGATGAGCGCAAGTTGAAGTTTTATATTCAGAAACAATCCTAAGCTGTGGCTTTAGAAAAGCAATAATTGTTGATAGTACTGTTGGAGGAGGAAGTTTTGGAGCAGAGGGGAAGAAGGGGACAGAGAGGTAGAGTGTTCAGAAGAGAAAAGTAAGGAATTGGCATGTCTTCTAGTGCATGTTTTGTTTACACACATTCAGCATTGTGATCTGGTGATAGAAATTTAGAGCCGAAAATTTGCATCCAATATTGTAATCAGCTAACTGTTTAAGGATTTAGCCTACCCCTATAATTTTGATATAATTTCTTGTTTAAATATGTTTAATTCAGATAGTTGCAAAGATCTTTAATTAAAGTGTGTGACATTATCCATTTATATTTATTAAAGAAGAAGGTGGAATCTGACATGCTGCAAAGTTAGATTTTGTGTAATCCAGATTTGGAAGAAGAAGAAAAATGTTAATCTATTGTATTATTTTTTAGAAAGAAAAAAAAAGCGATAATTGTATTCATTAATCAGACACACATATCATAATAATTTATTGTATTGTTAATTTTTTAAGTAAATTTGTTAGATCTTATTATTTGAGGCAATCTAGCATATAAAACACAACCCAATACATAGTAACTTTGGTTTGATGACAAGGATATCCAACAACAAAAAGAAATGAAATATACATGGTGGAGCATCCAAGGTGCACTTTAACTTTCATTACAATGACATATATTGGAGTCATATGGATTTTCCCAAAGCTTTGGCAGCATATATATATATATACTGCCCACAAGATGGCCCCGAATCTGCAAGTCCCATATATGATATATACTAGAAAGCTCAGTTCAGAGATTGTTCAAACATCATCTATGAGCACTAAAACATATAGAGGTTGATATTTCATGGTTACCATTATTTTTTAATTTTCTGGTTAATTTTATTAAAATAAATTCATAATATGTATGAGTGTGACATGCAGCAATAGCCAAGAGCATGTTTTACACGATGCATTTATAGATATATGTTCATTGAATTTTGTTAAAACAGTAAGCAGACACATGCCTCAAATGAATGGTTGATGGACCATTATGTTGCTTACATCTTCAACAAAACCAAAGGATGTTTCGTACATTGACAATTTTTCCAAAGCCACCGCAACACATTTCGTCATCTCTTTATAAATTATAATTATTTGTAAATGATGGTTCAACTTTGGAAATCAAAGTTGCGTCTTGTAGCTCCAGTGTTACAAGAGATTAAGAATTAGTCTTATGCTACTATTTCCTTACTTTAAAAAACAAATCAAGCCAACGGAATCAAGTTCAGTGAAAAATAGTCTTGATTTGCAGACAAATGATTTCAAGCTCGCACTCCCATGACACTACTGTGTGAAAAACCCCTCTCCCCTTTAGGGTTTAGATTGTCGCTTATATTCAAAAACAAAAACAAAGACATGTCTAAACATGTATGACAAAATTTTATTATTGATCAACATCGACAAGGGATTGAAAAAGTCCGTAGCTATCGGCTATGCAAAATCTTGTGAAATTCAAAAGCAGCTTCGTCGGAATTTCATTAACAACCTTCTTTTTGGATATTAGTGACTTACTTAGCAAATTCTTTTTTACCAACTTTCTTTGATTAGTGACTTTGTGGGCTTAATTTACCACGCCTCTTCTTCATTTCACATTGCCAATAAAGACTTCGGTGGCCTAAATGTTAATTCTGTGGTGTGAAGAGGCCAATAGTATCTGGGTAAATTCCATCTCCCGCTGCGATTTTTACATTGATCTTTGATTATTTTCCCGGTTTAAGCAAATTGATGTCGAGTGTCGGCAGGTTTCATTTGTTAAACTAGATTAAGCCATTGACAAAAACAAAAACAAAAACAAAAACAAACTTAATTAAGTCCCACATACCCTACAAAATATATATAGCTATTTTATGGATATGCACTCTCATCATTGGGGGGCCAAGAAGGACATCACCACCTTATTAGCTCCTTCATTTGGGTCAAATACGTAATCTCCTATGGCCCTATACCCAATCCCCTTTATTGGAAGAAATAATGAGCTGATTTGTAATTTCACATCACACCAGTCATCCCCACTTGGACATTAGAAAATGTTTGGGTCCAAATTGGGCAAAGTCTAAGGTTACCACAAGGAACTTGCTTGTTCTAGTTGAGCTGCAAATTGCATTGCTGAGAGAAGTCTTATTTTGATTAGAATAACATGCCGGCCACCAAGGTCCAAAGTAGTTGTTTGGAGTTCCAAATTTACAAGGATGACGCTTCATAGGCACCCAAGTTGACTTGCCATCAAGCCTACAATTTACTTCCCTGATTATCTAATAAAATAACCCTAACCCAAATATGGCTCACCTGCCATTCAAATATGACAACTCTTGCAGCTCAATTGGTTAAGAGCATTTACTTTCGTCTCCAAGGTCCTCGATTCCCCCCCTCCCCAAATTTTGCTTGTACAAAAGATATGATAAGTTTTGCAACAGACTACAGTCTCAGGAAAATCACAAAGCTGCTTCAAAACTTTGTCCATCTAGAATTCAAAATTTTCCCATCTAAAATTAGTTTCTTTGACTAAAAATATCATGAAGTTTGAGAGTTGGCTCAGTTTGATACAGAGGCAAATTACCCATCACCATCAGCCTAAAATAGTTTGTACTATATGATAACATTGACTAGAGTATAAAATGCCCACCCTAACCAACAAACTGGATTCTAATACTTTCCTGTAACAAGGCAATGCTGCTTTTTAGCCAGGTAAGGCCATGCCATTGTGTTTGTGCCCCCACAATAAACACTTCCACTTATGTAGCAAGCTGCATTCAAGAGTATGTATGCATATGCATGAACGTATGTATGTATGTATGTACCTAGGCTGGTATGTATGAATGCTGGCATGGTTTCTTCTTATGATCAGTTTGCATGATGCTTTAATCGAAAGATGCCATGAGACAGAAAGCCATGCATTAGAAAGAGCAAAGTGTAAGGTTTTTAAAAATGTAAAACAAGAAACAAATGTTCAGTATGTGTTATTGTACAATTCAACAAGCAGCTCACCTCCAGCTGCTGCCCAATCCTTTCAGGCATAATATCTCTATATTGAGAAATAAAAAATATTTCCTTCTGCTGATCAGCTCTGAAATCTTTTTCACATGCTGTCACGCCGTTTGAGTGAGATGCATTTGCACCGATGATGTTACTGCATATGGGCCAACATTTTTCTTTTGATAAAAAAAATTGGGACAGAAGCTTTCTATAATTCTGGTTCAGCTATGCATAAAGATTCTGCGAATCCTGCAAACAAGAAGCAAACCAACATCAGCCACCCAATTTGATTAAGCAATCAAGACTGCAAACGTATACCATCATTTATTGATCAAAATAACAAACTACCCTGAATGGGCCAACATAGAAAATTGCTAATGAAGTCTAAAATGGCAAAAGACCCATCAACATAGAAAAGTCTGAAACACTGGTGAACGGTTGAAAACCCACGCCCAACCGAAAAACAAAAGAAAGAATAGGAGAATGAGAGGGGGGCTGTTCAGTTTTAAGGATTCTTGTGTAGAAGCCAAAAATTCTTACAATGTAGGCCTCTAATTTAATATCGGGAACTTTGTGGAATTGACGGCTATGGGTTGCAGAATGAAAGAGATAATTTAACAATCCATACCACAATTTGAATCCCATACATTTTTTTCTTTGGGTGGATTACATGAATCCTATTTCTTAGCAGCTGGGGTCCTACTCCTACTTCAGCCAATGTTATTTTTAGTCTCCATTCACTCTTTTTTTGCCCATTAGCTTGAATGTACTGTTCCGTTTTCCTTTTTTCATTTCAGCGTGACCTTAGATCTTCCTTGCACATGATCCAACCATCACTAGTTCCTTTTTCTATTTTCCTCTTTGAATGTTGCCACCCCCTCTCTTTGAATTGTTACCATCATTCCCAAATCTATCTTAATTAATTCATAATGACAGACATCCACTCCCACTTTCCACATATGCATCTTAACTATCTCCATCTCACCAACCCCACCTTCCCACTCACATACTTTTGATCTCTCTTTTCCTGTGATCAATTTGTCCATCAGTCAAAAGCATAAGCCTCTCTATCAGAATACAACGCATAATGTTCAAAACCAAGATATCCTTGCCTGCTTAATAAGATGCATTAATATTGCAATAAGAGAGCATATACCATACTGAACTTTTACCTAAAGAGAACGTATATGATTAAGAAGGAAACCACAAAATATGCCACAAGTCTACACATTCTCCGACTTGATTTTTTCTCAAATACCTACATCGCAAACAACTTCATCTCTCAGCTAATCTCCCATAAATGAGAAAATATAAAAAGGAGAGAGAGAGATGAAGATGGAAAAAGTTAGTATAGGAGATCTAGTTTGGGTACCATCTTAAACCGATCCATTGTTCCAAACAATATACCCCTTGATGCATCCATGTGATTGCCCTGGTTTTGCAGTATACTCAAAAAAGTTAAAACATATATACAATAGTTTTTTAAATAATGAATTTAATAAGGAGGGTCTAAAAACTGTACAAGCATACCATTCGGTCAAGCAAACGATTATGACTCTCCACCTCTTCATGTATATCACCTGTTAACTGTAAATAAAACGCAGATCATTTTCCGTTCTTTCCTGTATTTACTTATTTATTTTAAATCCTTTGTCTAGGCAAGTACAACATTTTCATTTTGTAAGATTTAAACATTGATCAAACTCCAGCCCGTCTCTTTACTATCTGCACTAATATATAAATCAATAACATCAAGAGGAACAGTTTCTTTCTAGCATCAGAGTTGTGTACTATCCATGCGTGCAAGAACACATATTGTATAACACTAATGACAGTATATGACGACATTGTTGAAGGTATGTATAGGTTTGCAGGAGTTTAAAAACGTGTGATCAGGTGCATCTAGACTTATCAATGGTAAATAGGCAAGCTGTGTCTGTACGTAATGTAATTGAACACACTGCACCTCTTCTGGGGACTGTTCCTGTACAATTATTCAATGATACTCTATGCATCACAGAAATTTATCCAATGATGTTAATAATCGAGCATATCATAACCCGAATGCATTCATAAACATTATTGTAGCTAATAATGGCGTTGACAAAACATAACTGACAAATCTTATACACTGGATGGCCTAAAGATTGACCTGAGTTCATCTTGAGGACCATGACAGCAAAGGCAATACAGGCCAGATTCCCCTGAACCATCTCATGCTTATGCATCAGGCAACGATGTTTGTAGGATTCTAGTTATAACATTTGAAGAAAAGTCTGTAATGATGAATGGTCTACTTCCACTCCTAAATAGATACAGTCAAATCAATTCCTAAACATCTGCCATGCAATGGCTACAGCATATATATCCACTGTCTAAAAGAACAGGGTACATATCAAATTTACAATGTTGTAGAAAGTGATATTCATTAATAACATATAAAGCATGTTAAGGTATTTATGAAAAGAAGGTTGAAATCAACAATAGAATGGCCAGTAAAGAGATCTTCTTATATGGAACTCACTCTCTTCAGAAAAACAACTCTGTCTTGTAAACTTTGCACGGCTTTGTCATTGTCATGCTCATTAATGTCATGGGAGTATGAGGAGGAGGCCCTAAGACCACCTTCCTCGAGACCATCTAAAAGAGCTGATTTGGAGGAACGGTGCTCCCTACAAAAAGAGTGAACATATTCAAGTATGAGACAAAGTTAGTGTAAATACTGTTCTCACCTGGGAAACCTACTACTCCTAAATAAATTAGTACTTACTATGTCAAATTATTTTACAATGCATATTGGTTCAAAACTACAACATAATTGGGGTTGACACCAGTGCCTTGAACTAAAACTCAAAAGTGACATGGAAAATGAAGTTCAAAATTGTGGTAGCAATGGTTTGTGGCATGGTTTTGCAAGGAACAAAGCTTCTTGTTAAAAAAGAACTAGAAAACAAGTTGAATATACACATAATAGTACTATGCTACGACAAAACAGAAGAAACATGGACTTTGTAGTATTTTTAAACTATGAATGCTTGAAGCAAGTACCACCAGTTTATATGCCTAAATCCAAACCGAACAGTCAAAGTACAGTTAATTGTGTATTCTCACAAAAATAACACAAATCTAAGGGATCGGCCTCTTGAATTATGGCCGCAACTTAAAACTTTCAAAAATTCAACCGGTTTTGCACCATCATACAAATCAACACCTTGTCCCCTTTCTTACAGGTTTCATTTTAACTAATCCAGACTATAACTCAATGCCATATAAACATTTAGCTGAACTAATCCAAGACCATTCATCACCTACATTAGCAATTCTAAACAAAATCCGTGAAAAGCATTTTCCTTGGTACTTTCTCTTGAGAAAATAAAGTAGCATTGCTCTATTCTAAACTTGTAAGAAAAATGAACGCTAAATTTCCCTTACTATATCCAAAATTTGTTTACTCTCATCAAGAAAATAACCTACATTAGTAAAATTTACCAAGATTAAGGCTTCGGATAGTCGCAGATGGAGCTCGTACTCAATGCTAATTATAAGATCTAACTAATCAATCTCGATATCAATACTCAAATTGCGTCTAGATAAAAATAAAAATTTCCTGAAATTTCTTAAAAGCAAGATCTTGTTATATGCAGAAGAGATGTAATAAATTTGCATTTATAGAAACGAACCTTCTGTAGCTCATTGGTTTCATGCTTTCAATATTGGCAGATTCGGCGTCGTTTTGCGCTTGTAAGAGTTTGAATTAGGAGGAGGAAATTGAATCTGCTAATGAAGTTGAAGAGTGCAAGAGTTAAACTTTCAAATGGTTGATGCTCCGTTTGGTTGCTGAGAAAATGTGGGAAAGGAAAATGAGGGAAAGGAAAATGAAGGAGAGGTGATGGAGGAATTGAATTGAACGGAAACGAAAGGCAGTTGATGGTTTTCCACGTGGTGCCACTGGCTGGGCTTGCCGCCAATAGGCTCAATGGTCCAAGTCTTTGCTTTTTAGGCCCAACAATACTTCGGGTGCAGGCTTCAAAATTAATTACGGGCCACCCTTTTTTTTACTTCTTTTTCTTTTTGTATTTGTTTTGTTTTCTTTACACAAATGATACTTGGGGAGAGGCAATTTGAACTCGAAGGCATGGGTAAACTGCTCTTAACCACTTGAATCAGTGACGGATCTAGCCTGTTTTTGGCTAGGCAGCTGCCCGGCAGAAAATTTTCTATAAAAAAAAGGTAGATATGTTACCCCAACCAAAAAAGAAAAGGAAACCCTATCTCTAGCTGCCCAGCCAGCCATCAACATATTCTTTTCTCCTAGTTACTCTTTGTGACTTTGTCCATAGAGAGGCAGGGTAGCTGAAAGGATTTAAAAAAAGGTTTTTTCTTTTTTTCCTTCATCTTTTGTCTCTTATTTTCTCTTTATCGTTAAGTTTGATGCCTATTAATGGGTTGGGTTATGAGTTTGTTGTGTTAATGGGTTGGGTTATTTAGTTCTTGTGTTACGGGGTTCGGTTGTCAATTATTTTCATAAGTTTTTAAGTTTTGTATGTTAAATATACACCCCGAGTCACCGGAATGGTCTCCAATGGTGAGATGTAAATTGATGTAAATATACATCACCACCATGGGGATGTAAAATAAAATGTATATTTACATTCATTTTTACATCTCTTGCAGGCGGGATCCACCCGAGAAAAAAGAAGAAAAAAGAAGAAAAGTCAACATAATGGGTTGGGTTGTCAATGGTTTTACTTATCAAGTCGTTTATAAGCCTGTTAGTGTGTTAATGGGTTGTACTTAACATATGTGAAAATTTTAATTCAAATTCTTTGTTTTAAAGCTAATATCTGTTTGTTTTTTGGTTGTTGATTTTCCCGGATACCTAAAACATGTATGAAAGAGAGTTTGTGAATATGTACTTAACATATATGAAAGAGAATTTACTAATAATATCAATAATTTAAGAATTTAAGACTTCAAAGCTGCTCGCATGGTAAAATGTTATATTTAAATAGTGTTGTTTTGTATTGCATTGCATTTACTTGTGATTTTTGTTAAGCTTTTATATATGTATAAACATGCATTTGAGGATAACACTCATTACGTCCCCTTGTATCTTTTTATGTTTATTAATGAACTTCGCTTATACTGTCAAGTTTAGTACGTAAGTTTCGCCCAATCGACTTTCAAATCATAAATTTACCACTGACTTGAGCTATAAGTCCCTTACTCTCATTGATAGTCTCTACATTAATTATTGCAAGTTCTTCTTGCAGTAGCCATCCTATAAAAATGTGGGTCTTTTTAAAGCTTATAACTTCAACAATAGAGCATTTATACTCACTGATCTTTGAAGGAAAATAAAAGCTAAAATTTCCTAAGCATTTAGAATCCTTCGTTTTAAAAAGAAAAGAAAAAATTCAAGGAATTATGTAGAAAGACTGATGTTTTTATTAGTTGCACTTTAGCCTTGTGATCGTAACACACTTCCTCTCCATCCTCCATTTATGATTTACTACTTCTCCTTCTAATTTTTCATTACTGCTACTACCAAACATAGTATGACGTAATGATGTCATTGTCAAAAGTCAAAAGTCAAAAGCCACATTAATAATATTAAAGGCTCTTTCAATACCCCAGTCAGTGCCCTCCTCCACCTCCTCCTATCACCAGTATAATGCCACATTACATTGCCAGCAAGCAACTCCTCGCTGGATAGAGCTGTAAATACACATTGATTGTTTTAAAGGCTGACACAATCCTTCACCATTGTAACTATTTCTATTTCTTTTCTTCTGGTTATTGATAGATAATGATTTATCCAAATTTGCAAAAGAGAAGCTCATCGCAGAGTCCAATTATGAAACGAGAAGAGAGAAGCAGTGCAGTTGGACGCTGCCCATTTTAACCCGAAACCATTCCAGAAAGAGAGAGGTGAACAACTATTTGCAGAATTTACCAAGCAGGGTAGATTTTTAATGCATGAAAAACACTTCTGCATTATATGGAATCTGGAATCTCAGGGCATCAAAATAGAAGGGTCTTCAGCCCTGGTAAATAAACTGTCAGTTTTTAGTGTGTCAATGGAACAGTAAAAATTATTATACTGTTCCTGTTGAATCTTTAGAAATGCAATGACAATGTTCAAAATCTAACATTCAGTTAAAAACAACAGATACCAAAACAGATTAACTCCATGTAAATGTGAACTGTAAAACTATAAAACTAAAAAACCAGACCACCATGAAAGAGATGCATCAGTGAAATATGATTAAAATTGTATATTGATGACATGTAAGAGGAGCCAGATTAGTTTAAATTCCAAGTGAGCCGTGCATCAGACAACATGAAATGACTTCCTCCTTATAGGACGTCTAAGATGACAACATAGACACAATCCCTCAAACAATTTAACCGGCAGCTTATTGAGTTATTACAGCTTGCACCCTCATAGTAACAATAAAACCATTAGCTAGTGTGCAAAAGATACTTGAACCTTAGGACCCAATGACACCTTCACGCTTTCTTTGGAATGCAACTAGGCACCTTCAGTAATCGCAGGTTTTCCATAAGGACATGCCACACTGCTTTGCAGAAGCACCGTTTCGGATTTGATAGGAAATTTCCTTTCTCCCTAATGCGGCTCCCACTTTCAGCTCACAGTTGTTCTCAAGCATTTAACACTTTTAGTTCATCTCTTTCGTAGTTTGGCACCTAGCACATGATCTAGCATAACCAAATGAGAATAGGATAAATATATCTAAGAATATCTTTGTTAGTATGTGTGTATTTGTGGACAACAACATCAGATTAGAGGTCATGACTTAATCAGAAACTAACAGTCGTGACCAGAGTGAACCATTACTGATTAAGAGATTAACATTAGCCAGAATAACATTATGAATTGCAAAAAGATGAACAGACTTCACTAAGAAAAAACTTCGAACTTTACAAGAACACATGTACAATTCTACACGAAAGAAGGATACCTTTTTTTAATAAATAATTAGAATTATGTACTTCAGAAGTCAAAGCTTCCCATACCTTGCAACAAAATACATTAATGAAGATCAAAGCCTTCAGTGTGAAAAGTTGAGATATTCACATTCTGTTTAACTATCATCTTTGTTTTCACCCAAGTAATAGGAATCAAGAAGAATTCCCTATCACCATCTTCACGATTTCAAATCCAATAATGTAGTCAATCAACAAAAGAAGCTCCGCATTGCAATTGCCAATCCATGCAGTCTTCAAAATCAAAACTACTTGCACAATCCAATAATGCATTTTGCTGGTGCTCATAACGGCATATATAATTCAACCCAACAAGAACCTGACAAATAGCTGCCTCCGTCTTTTCTCGATCAGCAAAATACAATGTCTGTAGCAGAAGAACATTTGTTCGCGTAACAATCTGCTGTTGCTCGAAATTACGCTCACTCTGCCATCTGATCATGTTATGTGCCAGTGGGGCAAGCCATCTCAAAATCCCATCAAGAGTCTCCTTCCAATCATGCGCAAGAGGTGCATCATATATTGAGAAATTCTTAGCACAGGACTTGAGATTAGTCCTCAGGGACATCCTTAAACTGGTTGGCAACATATGATACAAATCGTCCCTAGCTTCCTCACCCACTAGATAAGGATAGCGAAGCAACTTCTCGACAACAATTATAACATTAGCATAATGCAAAGCTAGAGCAGAGCCTCCCACGGTAGAAGGAGGAGCATATACCATTAACTTACTCTTGGGACCAAACCTGGCACCATTCATCCCACCACTCTTTGATTGAACACCCATCTGGGTTCGACTGAAACAACCTGAATGGTTCGGATAGTCTCTCCTCAAACCACCATTTGCAACACTGCAACCAGAAATTTGGCTACTCCTTTCCTCATAATTACCAGCACCAACATAATCATCATCATCATCATCATTAACAGAACTGCTTACTCTAAGGCAGTCCATGAAAATCCTCCCCGGGCTAGTTCCACACGGAAAATTAAAATCCTCTCCTCGATACAATCCCAATTCACCTCTCCTTGAATCAAATTGAGGCTTAAAAGCTGACCCCTTTTTCACCACCATAGCTTTCTCAACTGGACCCGAATGCAACCCGTTTTTCCTACTAAGAACTCTCTTCAGTGGCTCAGAAGCCACCTGAGAAACCCTTCTCGCGTCAACCGGACCAGACATAGGAGGTGGTGAAGCTCCGCCAATTAGGCCAACATGGTTCTTGCCCAAAACAGAGTCACCAAAAACAGCACGAATAGTAGCATAAATGGTACAAACTGTCCTGGCCAGCAACTCCACAACCTTATCATACGTTTGGTTCCAAAGAGAAACATCCTTGAGGTGTCTCACGTCTTGCTTCTGCCAAATCAGCTTCTGCTCAAAAGCCCTTTTGCTCTCTTCGTGTTGATTGTGCTGAAACTTCTTGGTGGCCTGTTCCAACTCATTCAAAACCTCCATTTCACTGTACAAATTCGAAGTAGCGTTCACATACCTTTCCATCCTCCTAACCATACCCTCCATGTCCTTCACCAAAAACCCCAACTCCTTCACATCAATAACCCCATTAACAAGGTCAGCATAGACATGCTCAAAACCCTGCAAAGCAGGCTCAACACACCTTTTTCCAAGCCTGGACACAACCGCAGCGACCCGGTTCAGGTCTTCGAGCTTCTCGGCCATTGCAAGCTCGAGAAGATAGGCCGCGTCGGACGAGACCAAGTTCAGTACTCCTTCAGACTTCAAGATCTCGTTTTTGAGTTTCGAGATCTCGGAGTCTGTGAGGGACTTGTGGAGGTACACAGTCTTGGACATAACATTAGCTACTTCAAAAGAGAGAATGCCTATGGTCTGCTTCTGGGTTTTGGCGTTGTTGCTGGTGGGTAGGTTTTTGGAGTTTGATTTCTTTGAAG